GATAATTATTATGAAAAGTAATAAAATGAGATTAGCCCCTAAACTTAATAACAATAATTAATAATGCCGAATTTAGCTTAATAAGTAGCAAAACTGTAATTAAGGAATGCCAAATACTAATCTCAATTCCACCACATAATAATTAATCATGACTATTATGATACTTAGGGAGACTGAAGTTAAGGTAATAACCAAATTACCATTATATAGACAATATACCAACTATATTGCTTTTGCCATAAAATTAAAGACTTAATATTATTATTAAGGCCCTGAAAAACTATTGATAGATTAAAAAGTTAATTAACTTAAACAATAGTTATAGTTCTTAATGGCCAAAATAACAATTAAATCCTTAATGTCTCTAAACAGGCCAAAGCAATAATTATAGCACTTAATCACTCAAATTAGGCACATAAACCTCAATGACCCAAGTGAATTATAACATGAATAAAAAAATGGTCTAATACTGAAGTAGACCCAAAACTTAATATTATTACCAACGATGAATACCAAAATATGGTAGTTAGTAATAATTAAAACTTAATAAACATGTTATAATAAAAAAGAGCTATAATTATCATTAAAATATCAATCAAAATGGTGAGATCCATAATGACCCAAGTTAGGTCCCAAATAGCTTATTCAAAATAGGTTCTAAAGTTCCTGAGACACATAAAACTAAAATGTACTCAAAATTAAGGGGAAACCAAACAAGCTACTTAACAGGCCACAATGCTTAAAATTGGCCAAAGGATCTAAAATTGAATGATATTTAATAATGAATTTATGAGTTACTAATATGTTAAATCCAACCTTAATGCATGCTATTATGAATGTATAATTATAACAATAATTTATGAATATACGTAGCATGCTTGAATTTGCATATTAATATATTATTAACCCATATATCTTAAATAAATTGCAATACTACTTTAGGCAATTAAATGTAAACCTCAATATTAAATTAAAATTCAAATAGCAAATTAAAACTTAATATTTGCCCAAATTGAATGATAGTTTAATAATGAATTCAATGCCAAAATTAAGAGGAAACTAAAGGGCATCATCCAAGAACAAGCAATTACCATACATTTATTATTAACCAAAATAATATAAAATATTAAATTAGGTAATATAAATATGGTAATAATAAACTAAATAATTACCATTTACCATAATTAATATGTTATATTAACTAAAGCAAATATTATATGGTAAATAAATATAAATGATATTGGTAATTGGTAATAATTACTTAATGACACAAACATATCTTAATGCACCTTTCCTCTTTTCTGAAATAAGGAGTGCAGATTACCAGTCTGCCAGATTGCCCTCATTGATTAGTGCGGCGCCGAGAAATTAGAAGCAGCATCGGTTGAGCACCACCGCCGTCCGTCCTCTATAGTCGCAATGCGAACGCCTGACTTAATGGCGTGACAACAACGGCTTCGGAGAGGAAATCGGAAAGCGACGGAAACGAACCGGTAAAACTTAAGCGCATCTCGTTCCATGGAAACCGACGAACAACAGGCTGAAGATTCCCACCGGATGAACATAGCGGCAGTAGGTATGCAATGCTTGAAAGTTGTAATTAGCCATCCAAATAAATAACAAAAAATCCACCGAACTTGCCGACAAACGATGAACATAATATTTCGAAATCCAAATGAAATATGAAAAACTGTGCTTCATGTTGAAATTGAATATTTAAAAAAAACAACCACAGTTAATTCATTCTCTAAACATACAAGCATAATTACGTAATTATGCTTGTATAATGATTTCGAAATATTAATATAAAACATATATGAAAACTATGATGTATATGAAAGAAATTGATGTTGATCGTAGGTAACCCAATCAACCAGGCAGAGATTATAAAGGCTCTGAAACCAAATGATAGTATACGAGAAACCTGATCTCGTATGATAGCAGAAGCGTAGCCATGTAGATCTCCAGCCATAGTTGATGTTCCTGTTGTGTTGCCTCTCAACGGTAGACCGTTAGCCATGTACGGTAGACCGTTAGCCATGTTTTGCCTCAGAACCCTAGATGGTGTATTGGTATCTACTGAGCAGTCGTAACTGAATGTGCTAACATCCAACATCATGTATCCCATCAATCCAGGATTATATTAGGCACAGAGTTTGGTTGACTAACAACTACTAGTTATTAAGTCCAACCAGACTACTTAATAAGCCTAGTCAACTTGCACCACTTAATTAAGGCCCTAATATATAATATATAATATATAATATATATTATTAGGAAAAATCTTACATCGATTGTATACTTCTTGTATTTCCCATTGTGGACCGGGGTATGCTCCGTGAATTTGTACATTCCTTTGGATATATATATATATATATATATATATGTGTGTGTGTGTGTGTGTGTGTGTGTGTGTGTGTGTGTGTGTGTGTGTGTGTGTGTGTGCGCGCGTATTTACCCTAGGGAAGGAGCAAACAAGGTGGCTGAAGAAACGAGATGAAGTGATCATATATGATCAGTTTTCCCACCCTTTATATTTTCAAAAAAATAAATAAAAGAAGACTTTGGGTATGGAGCAGCTTTAAATCTCCTGTTAAGTCAATTGTCGTATCTATTGGAGATGCTTACAATTCAACGATGAAATAATCATTATATTCTACGATAAAAAGTTGGGAAACATCCAAAAAAAAAAAATGCTCAGCTCTCTCCCCATGGAAAAAGTATGAGGCTATGAGCATTGCTCCTTTCAAAAAAAAAAAAAAATTTGTATGAGCATTGCTATTTTTCCTTCTAAGTGAGATCTTGACGGGCTTGGAAAATTAAATGCACATTAAATACATATTTGACATTGGGGGAGAAAACGTAATTACAAAAAAAAAAAACGTATGGAGTAAAGTTGTGGGTTTTTGACAAAAATGGACTGATTTAAACTTGAAAGAAAAAGGTAAAATTGTTTCTCTAAGAGCTCGTTTGGTTCGCTGGAAAATATTTGAAGGGAAATGGAATTGAAATTCCATGGAAAATAAATTTCAAGAAAACAGATTCCATTGTTTGGTTGGTGGAAAAGAAATTACTGGGAATATGAATTCCATTGTTTGGTTGAGTTTGGAAGGGTAAGGAATAATGAGTATAATGACAAATATAACCCTACACAATAATAATAATATAATAATAATAAGAGTAATTAATAAAGAATGGTGAGGGTAAAATTGTCATATTAGTTTTCCATGGAAAACAAAATACTTAGCATAAGCTAGGAATTTGTTTTCCTTGTTCTTAAGGAAAACTTTTTCCAATGGAAAAAGTTTTCCATCCAACCAAACAACATAAAACATCATTTTCCTTCACTTTTAGGAAAACATTTTTCATGGAAAATGTTTTCCATCCAACCAAACACCCCCTAAATACATTTCAAACAATTATATCTCTAAAAAGTAAAAAAATACATTTCAAGGGAAAATGAGATTTTTTTCCATGAGTTATATACTTATAGCACTTTTTCTTTCTGAATTATTCAAGTGGCTGTTTTTGTCACTGAAATATTAAATGGACATATTTACCCTTAAAATAAATATTTAATTTATTTTTTTTTTCTCCAACAAATTATGACCACAATTTGGTTCAAATCAAACAGACACTATAGCAACCAAACCGAAATATTCTAATTACAATTTAGAATCGAAACCTAATATTTAGACTTTATTAAAATCGCGAATCGGAACGGCCGGTTCATGTTCCGAACTGGAAAAAAAATACATTTATTGTTGAATTTAGACTATTTTAAAATAAAAAATAAAATTTGAAAATAATAACGGTTCAAAATTGCGAACCGGATCCGGAACCGCCGGTTCACGGTTCAAGATCCATTTTTTCGATTCATAATTTTAATAAACTGAAATCCAAATATTGGGTTCTGGATTTGAATCATAACTGGAAACTTTTAATTCGATTGCTATAGTGTCCGGTTCAATTCGAATCGAACCGTGGTCATCCCTACGTATACGCAATAATTTATTGGAGAAGAAAAATAAATAAAATGTTTACTTTAAGGGTAGAAATGTCAATTTAATATATCAAGGGGAAAAATGCTATAAGTATATAACTCAGGGGAAAATGTGGCGTTTTGCTTTCTTTTTTTTTTTAATCAAAATAAATTCTATATTTTGTCAATTTTTGTTTGGACCACCTAGAAAATACTTATTTCTGTCCAAACCTCATAAAATTTCAAGTTCGTGTACTTTTTAGTTTTGATCCCATGACCTGATGACCATTAAAACACTTCTAATTGTTTAACCATCTTACAAGGGTATTTTTGCATTTCTAAATATATTTTTTTAAAAAAACGACTTTGATTATATTTGGACCGAAGTATCACCAAAAGGATCCATTTTATAATAATAATAATAATAATAATAATAATAATAATAATATAAAGATTAGTTAACAAGGGCAAAGTTGGAATAATTCAAGGTAATCTAAGATTACCTAAAAAAAATGGGGGTAATCACATTACCTTGAAACATTACCGCCACATCAACTTTCAGGTAATATAACATTACCTGGTAATCTCATAACTTGAACCAAACAATGTAATATAACATTACCCGACTCAGATGACCTAGGTAATCTAAGATGACCTGAACCAAACGCCCCCTTAAAGTTGTATCTAATCTCCATTTGTACCGGGTCATTCCAATTAAGAGGTAAAGTGTGGTCAGATTGATTTTTTCATACCAGAGGAGATGTATATTGGATTTAGTGCGCATGCGTTGTTTCCATGTAAATTAAAAGCAGTATCTGTTACCCTTCTCAGGGGAATTCAAACTTCCCTTTTCCAGTCTGACGCGCAAAATTAATTAAAAATTGAAAATTATATTCCTTTCCGTATATCTTTTCTTTTTCGTAACGTCTCCCTTCAATATTCCGTTTCCCGATTGCATTCCTATTTCCTATAAATCCGCTGAACAACAATTCATACTTTCTTCATAATCTCTTCTATCTGTGTGTCGTCGTATAATTTTTACTATATACATGATGATGATGGATGATAAGTACCGGCAGTACCAACGTGTGTTCGAGTACTTTGACGAGAACGGCGACGGGAAGGTGTCGGCGGCGGAGGTCCAGCAGCGAATGGGCGGCGCTGTGTGGTTAGAGGAAGAGGAAGCGGAAGAGGGGTTGAGCTTTGAGGAGTTTGTGAGGATTGTGGAGGAAGAAGGGAGCGAGGAAGAGAAGGATAAGGAGTTGAAGGAGGCGTTTAGGATGTACGAGATGGAGGGGTGCGGCGCCATAACGGCGGAGAGTTTGCAGAGAATGCTGGGGAAATTGGGGGAGGAGAGGTCCATTCATGAATGCAAGAAGATGATTGCTTGCTACGATCTCAATGGGGATGGGCTCCTCTGTTTCGATGAGTTTAAGGTTATGATGATCACCACTTGATTCTACCTACTTTAATTAGTTTGTGTAGTCTTTCTTGGCCATGTTAATTGGATTCTATACCCTTTATTTATTCAGTTGTTAATTATTATTTTTTTAAATGATATTCTTATTATTTTTGTGCAATTAAATTACTAATGTTTAACTCTTTTTTTTTTTTCTCACCATATTTCCCTCATGATTGGCATTAGTAAATAGGAGGAGAAATTCGGGAAGGGTAATTAAGAAGCATTTTCTAAACTTAAAAGTGTGCAATTGAATCATCAAATAAGTAAAATATATGTAATTTGGACTTCTTCTTCTTCTTTTTTTTTTTTTTTTTTTTTTTTTTTTTTAAAAAAAATTTTTTTAATAAGTAAAATATATGTAGAATGTGATTATATTGATTACATTTTTATATGCTAGTCATTTCCTCCCTCATACTAGCTGTTATGAAAGATTAAAACATTCTCAACTCAAATTGCATTAAAAGAAATTAGAATAATGTTTCAATTACACATATTTTACTTAATGGTTTGATATCACATATTTAGTAACTCAGTTGCACAAAAGCGATTTAGTGACTCAATTGTACAAAAACTTTAAGTTTAGTGACTTATTTATAAGTGTCAAATAGGTCATTGAACTTGTACCTTTTGTCAAAGTAAGTCATTGAACTTTAAAAAAAAAAAGTGTGCAATTGGATCATCAAAATATATGCACTTAGGACATTTTTATAATTTATTTTAATGCAATTTAAGTTGAAACATTTCAATCTTTCATCACTACTAGTATGACTAAGAAATTGCAATTCTTAATATATACGATGTAATTAATATGATCGGATTCTACCGAGAAAGAATAGAAAAATGTCCAAATTACATATATTTTACTTGTTTAATGATTTAATTGCACACTTTTAAAGTTTAATAACTCAATTACACAAAAGTGATAATTTAGTAATTTATTTGACACTTTTTCCGCCTAAATATTATACCCATGCCTTTTGTAGGACCATATTAAGATGAGATTTGAAACTTCTACTTAGACGAAAGTACGAACTCGATTTGTTTTTATGTTTCAATACTCCACATTTATATATGGTAGGGAATATCCCGACCGACATAGCTTCACCACGACCGAGATGCCTTTGTCCTTTTCTCTTTGTCTTTGCAGGTAGCAGGTCGGGCTCCTTGTGAAGAACCCGGTCGGGGTCCGACCGGGAGTTGCCCGAACGATGATGTCGACCACCGAGCGGTAGCCCTTTGGCGAGAGAGCTGACGAAGGACAGGTGGCGGTTCTCTACATCGACAGGCAGGGCACCCGGGAGGATGACACGTGGTGGCTACGTGGAGGACATGCCGAACGGCTGGAATCCTGTCCCCGGCATAGCGGCTATAAATACCCACAGTAGCTACAGTGTGAGGGACTTTTGGACGATCGATAGGTTGTTGTTAGAGAATCCCGACCGCAGTCAATCGGTACTCAGAGCAACCAAGTAGATTGTACTTAGGGCCTTTACCGTGATCAATAAAGACATTTACTTGCTTTGCTTGGTCTCGAGTTATTTCATATTGCTTACGTATAATTAGCAGTATCATTTTGGCGCCGTCCGTGGGGAGCCGTGCAAGAAACCAACGTCTTGACGAGCACCCGGTCTCTATATCAACATGTATCCGTGGGCACACAACAACTTTGCCGACGACCAGGCGGATGCGGCGAGCTCCTCCGACCACTATGCTACCCAACAGCAGGGTCAGACGATGGACCTCAACCTCAACCTCTCACCACCGCATCCATCAACTGCATACCCGGCCGTCCAACAGCCGGTGAATTACATACAACCGGGATACCCAACACCCGGTTTGCCATATCAGCAGCAGCCGATGATGTATCCCGCCCAGTATCCGTACCCGGTCCCACCTCCGTCGTATGGGTATTGGCCAGGCCAACCGATGTGCTACACTCCCCCAGTTGGTTATCCACCATATACGCCTGCTTATACAGCTCCAGCCGCCGCCCCTCCAGTACAACCGACCGCACAGGTAGAGCCGCAGCGTCAGTCCGCATCCCGGGCTCGACGCTCGGCTCATTCGCGGTTGGGGTCGGGGGGTGCTGATGCGATGGAGGCACCAGCTCAGGCCGTCCAAGCGGAGGACCCTGAAGAAGTTGCCCGAGCGGTAGCTTTTGATCGTCTTCGACCGGAGATGCGCCAGCGTTTGGGACCCCAAGACCCGAACCGCGGGCAAGAAGACGTACAGATGCAGGAGGCTAGTCAGGAGGCCTCATCTGGGTATAGCGGGTCGAGATCTCACCGACGGCGACGCGCTCGGGATACAGCCCAAGCCGCTCAAGCCGCCGAGCTCAACGAAACCCGAGGATTACTATATAACCTCCAGGAGGAAGTTGCGCAGCTCAGGAGTGCGTACCCTGCAACACCCCCGGTCAACCAATCGACCCTGCACCAGACGCCTTTCACGGCAGCGGTAATGGCCCAGCCTTACCCGCTTGACTTGAAGGTCTCTGGAGAGAAGAGTTATGACGGACGGGCAGATCCTGAGGCCCACGTGAATGATTTTTTCAGCAACATGATGTTGAAGGGCGTTTCGGACGCCGTGATGTGCAGGGCCTTCTACTCGACCCTCACCGGTCGGGCGGCAGAGTGGTTCCGTACCCTGCAACCGGGGTCGATCGATAAATTTGAGACCCTGGCGATCAAATTTGTGAGGAAGTTCATCACTTCCAAAGTGGTGAGGAAGTCCTACATGTATCTCGAGAAGGCCAAGCAATTAGAAGGGGAAAGTTTGACCGATTTCCTCATCAAGTGGAAGGCAGCAGTCGGGGAGGTCGAGCCTATGGATGATGCGACCGCCACCCATATGCTTCACATATCTCTCCGGGCGGGACATTTGTATCAAGACTTCATCCTACACCCCCCGACCAGTTACGAGGAGGCCCTTCGGAGGGTCACAGACTATGCCAACGCCGGCGAGGCGAACGCCGTAAAGCGCTTGCAGGAGGTCGGCTCTTCGTCCCGTAAACCGGCCGGCCGGGCGGAACATCGATCGGGAGATGACAATCCCCGATCCCGCACCAGGCCTGGCGAGTTTACGGCCTTGAACCGATCCGCAGCGGAGGCCATGCAGTACGCCCAGTCCTGCAATCTCATCAAACTCCCTCATCCCGATCGAGACGGCCCTGACAAGAGTAAGCACTGTGCTTACCATCGATGCGCCGGGCATGACACCGAGGAGTGTACCCACTTACGCCAATTGTTGGAAGATCTGCTCAACCTGGGAAAATTGGACAAGTGTGTGGGAAAGAGAGAGGACAACAAGAAGAATACCGATCGGAGGGATCACAGGCGTTCTCGTCACCGCTCCGATCGGTCAGGTCAGGACCGAAGAGACGATCGAAGAGACGATCGTCATGATGACCGACGGGACCCTGACCCTCCGTCTGGTAGCCGCCCATCCGGAAAGCCTACCATCCACGTCATTTTTGGTGGACTGGAAGATGCTTCCCGACCGCGTACTAATTGCCCGGTCGCTATAGTGGATTCCCGAGAGACCGGGAAGAGGCAGAAGATGGAACCCATAACCTTCACCCTCGAGGACCAACCTACCAGCAGTGACCACGGCATGGAGGCGCTCGTGGTCACGATTGATGTTAAGGGGACGGACGTCCAAAGGGTTATGGTGGATACGGGCAGCAGCGTGAACGTCCTTTACTTGGACGTCTTCGAGAAGCTTGGCCTCGACAGGAAGGAGCTGACTCCGGTCGGTGTACCACTGTCAGGATTTACCGGGGCTCTCATTTACCCCGAGGGAAAGATAACGCTCCCGGTCGAGATCGGCACCCCTCCAAAGTCGATCAAAACGGAGCTGGAATTTGTTGTGGTCAACCTCCATTGCGTCCACAACATTATCTTGGGCCGACCCGCCATCATGAAGATCGGTGGGATAATTTCTATGCCCCACTTGTGCATGAAATTCCCCACCCCTAATGGGGTCGGCGTGGTCCGCGGCGATGTCCAATCTGCCCGAAAGTGTTACACCCGAGCGGTCAACAGACGTGACTCCGGTCCATCTTCCCGGGTGAACACCATAGCCAAAGAGGAGGCTAAGGAACGGAAGGAGCAGCCTGAGCCTTCCGAAGAAATAGAAGAAGTTCCCCTCTCCGAGGACCGCCCGGATAGGAAGATCAAGATTGGCCGAGCCCTCACCCCCGAGCTTCGAGCGGAAGTTTTGGCCATACTCCGGGAGTATGCTGATATCTTTGCGTGGGGGCCTGAAGACATGCCCGGGATCGATCGATCGGTCATCTGTCACAAATTGGCCGTCGATCCCTCAGCCAAGCCGATCGTGCAGAAGACACGACACCTTTCCTCCGATCGCCGCGAATTTGTCAGAGAAGAAGTCAAAAAGATGGCGGCGATCGAGCACATCCGTCCGGTGGTCTATCCCGAGTGGGTGGCAAATATCGTTCTTGTTCCTAAGCCCCCAGCATGGAGGATGTGCATCGATTTTACGGACCTCAACAAGGCCTGTCCGCTCGACCCGTATCCTCTACCGAGCATTCACCAGATGGTCGACGAGACGGCCGGGGCCGAATTAATGAGCTTCATGGATGCCTTCAAGGGGTACCATGAGATCATGATGCACCATGAAGACGAGAGCAAGACAGCCTTCGTGACCCCGGACGGGCTGTATTGTTACCGAGTGATGCCCTTCGGCCTCCGGAACGCAGGAGCGACCTACCAGAGGATGGTCAACATGCTCTTTGCCGATCTATTGGGCCGAACGATGGAAGCTTACATCGATGACATGCTGGTCAAGAGTCGGGACCGGTCCGACCACACTCGGGACCTCCGGGAGTGCTTCCAGATCATGAGGAAGTACCAGTTGCGGTTGAACCCGACCAAGTGCACATTCGCGGTTCAGACCGGCAAGTTCCTCGGCTATATGATGACCAAGAGAGGAATCGAGCCTAACCCGGCCAAAGTAAAAGCGATTCTGGACATGCAACCACCTTCCACCGTTCGGGAAGTCCAGCAATTGACCGGTCGGTTGGCAGCCCTCAGCCGGTTC